TGTGTGTGTGTGTGTGTGTGTGTGTGTGTGTGGCCAGCTCAGCCCACCGGGGGCGGGCTGGCTGGCATGTGGTGCTGGGGGATTGAACCGTGGTCCCTGGACTTTGCTAAGCTTGTTCTAAGTAGGTGCTTTAGACCACTGAGCCATCTCACCAGCCCTCTCTTAAAGTTTTTCAAATTAGAAATGACTCACAAAAAATTTTACCAACAAAAAGGAAGTGACAACTAACTAGTAGTTCTTCACAACTATAAGGCCAGTAAGATGTTGTTAGTAATGATCACAGGATTTTATAGCATCCTAAAGTGACATCTACATTTTTTATTCTAATATTCAAAATGTTAAATATATGCTAATCCTCTTTATAGTCATTTATAAACTATATTAATATTTTTAAATGGTGATATAAATTATGATCATATATTCTTAATTTTATTGGCCTGAACACATGCTAAATACTGTGAAAAATAAATGTTTAAAAGTTTTCTGTTTTGTTTTTTTGAGATGAGGTTTCACTATGTACTTTAGGCTAGTGTTAAACTCACTATATTACCCAGGCTGGCCTCAAACTTACGGCAATCCTCCTGCCTCAGCCTCCTGACTACTGAGATTACAAGAATACAGAACCACGCCTGGCAGTTAAAATACTACTTAGACTATAATTTCATTTTTAATCCATTTTCTAACCTTATAAGAAGTTAGGCTATGTATGAGTGTGATTTTATCTTTACCCAGATCACACTTAGCATCACAATTGAGAATCCCTTTTTATACCCACACCCAGTTTTCACCAATATTAACATGTTATACTAGTATGGTACAAATAGTACATTTTAAAAGTGAAAAAAAAAAAAAGGTCTACCTAGTATTTCCCCGAAGAGGAGAATACAAACGGCCAATAAGCACATGTGATGGCATGTAGCATCCTTAGTCATTACTGATGAAACTCACAGCTATGAGACCCTGCTGTGGTTTAGATCTAAAATGGGCCTCCACACACACCAAAGCCTCTTGTGTTTGGAAAATAGCTAGATTATGTAGGCCTCGGCACCCAGCTGCTGCTAGGAGGCAGGATCTGATCAGGAGAGGCCGGTCCCTGTGGGCGAGACCCTGAAGGGCATCTCACTGCCCAGCTCCTCCCTGTCACTGCTTCCTGACTGCCATGACAAAAGAAGCTTTCTTCTACCCAGGCCTTTCCCCTCCCAACGTCCTAGGTCTGAAACTTCTGAAACATGAGCTGAAATAAAGCTCTTCCTCAAAGATTCAGGTGCCCAGTGACAAGGAAAGCGACTAAGCCTGAGACTATTTCAAACCCAAGAGGGTAAAATGGAACTCTAATACCTTCTAATAGGGAGGTTCAATGATGCAAAATAGTCTGTTGGTTAAAAAGGTAGTAATCATAGAGAGACCATGTCACCCAGATATGTCACTGCTGGGTGTGTAAGAGAAGTGCTAACAGATCCACCCAAATATTACACATGAACACGTGCACAGGAATATTATTACTAATAACCAAAAAGTAGAAATAATACAAATATTCATCAGTCAGTGTATGCAGGTGCAAAATGTGGTATATCATACAATGGAATACTACTCAGTTATAAGAAGAAGCTAGTACATGCTACAATGTGCTGCCAGGCATGGTGGCACACTCCCATAATCCCAGCACTTGGAGGCTGAGGCAGGAGGATCACCTGAGTTCAAGACCAGCCTCGGCTACATAAGCAAGTTCAATACCCACCTGAGGGAGAACTACCCGCTCGGGCCCCCCTCCTGTCGCTCTCTTGGACAGGGACTTTCTTTCTCTCAATAAATATATTCTGCTCATAACCTCCATTTATTCCTAAAATTCATTCTTTGGTTTTAGAGAACACGAACTCATGCAGGTTAGGTTGGGAGATTGTTTTTCTCTCTGTCATTTGGAGGTTCCTTATATGGTTTGGAGGTCACCCACTTGAGACCAGTTTTTCTCCCTGTATCATTTTGGAGTTTCCCACCGAGATCATTGGACGGAGGTATGAGTTTGCTTTTCTTTCATAAATTCTGAATTGGGACTTGCTTAGGTAACAAATTTATGTTTCAAATGTTAGTATGTCTTTGCCCATTGCTCATAATTGTTCATGCTTTACCTCATACAATTTTGCTTCACATAGTACTATTAAAATTGCTTATAATTGCTTCTGTTTTGTCTCTTATATTGTTGGTAAAATGTTGGCCAAAATGTTGTTGGTAAATCTTAAGTTAAAATGTTCATGATATTTCATTAATGGAACATTTTATGACTGTTGTGTATTCACATATGTTGTGTTTGAACTGTTGCTCAATGTCCTGGTATTCCTTGCTTGACTTTAGAAAATGGCGCTAGAGAGAGTATTGTTAGTAAGCCTCCTAATGGATTTTATATAAATCTCTGTAAAAAGGGACTTTTAGCCAGCTCAGACTCAAGGAAATCTACATGCCTGTACATGAAACACGGGACTCCTTTTGCCAGTTAAATGACATTAGGTCGGCAACCATTCTTAAAGACTTGGAGGACAGGTTTCACTGGGATAGACTGGTTCTGATCCCCCTCTACATGCTAGAGGGAATGTCAGACCTGCTCTGTTTCAGTTTCCTTGCTTTGACTTTATTCCTAATTTTCCCACCTCTTTGTACTTTCCCTTTTAGAGGCATGTAAAATTAGGAAAACTGTGACCATTCCAACTAAGTGAAGCCCTTAGAAAATGAGTGTTTATTAATGCCAAAGACAGGGAAGTCATTTTAGAAAAAGGACACATACCCCATCTCTGGGTCAGATGAGACAAAGAGGACTATGCCC